GAACCCGGACCGCTCGATCCGGAGACGAGCGCACTAACCATGAGGCCACCGCGCCTCCCTTGAGTATAGGACCCTTTGTAAATTTGTTTATATTAGGAAGACATCTATTTAAACCCCCAGAAATTGGGACGAGGTGTATTCTTTTATTTGCTTTTGCTAGAGCTCAGTGTATTTACTGTACAGCATGTGACACATGGTTCTTTTGCAGGAGATCCTTGTGGCACAAAGCAAAGAAATGCCACCTCACCCCTGGGCAAACAGAACTCAAGGTTTGTTTCACTCAGATTTTTATTCCCAGTTCTTTAATGCAAGGCATCTCTTCTGATGTTTTTTTGTTTGTTTGTTTGTGACTTTTTCGCTCATTTGCAGGTTGATTTTCCACTGCCGATAGTAGCCTGTAACTTGATGATTGAGTATGCTGATTTCTACGAGAACTTTCAGGTACATGCTTGAGTATCTTTTTCAGTAAAATGCTTTTCTTTTGCCACTTCACGTTTTCATAACAATAATTTTCTGACGGAGGGAACTTCTCTTTTTCTCTTTGTTTGCTTGTCCTGCAGGCCTCATCTGAAACTCTTCAGTGCCCTCGTTGTAGTGCTTCTGTGAATGCTAATCCTGGAGTTTGCAGCAACTGTGGAGAGAATGTCTACCAGTGCCACAAGTGCAGGTTTGTTTGTTGCTTCTTCCGTTTACAAGATGGCTTCATTTATCCATTGCAATATTAAAGTATTATTCATTCACACTGCACAGTACACAGGATAAGGGGGAAAATTAACGATTCATTTGTCCTTTGGACAAACATCAGAAAGAATTTAGTTGGCCGAAACTCAAAATGTCTTACCAAAACGTTTTTAAATTTATGAATCATGTACTTATCCTTGTTTTGTTTGTCCTCCAAATGTGTTTGTTCATGAGTGCTTCTCCATTCCTGTTATAATCTTTAAACTGAACCGTCTAATCGTATATAAAAAGTCCGATGTCATTCGATGGATACCTTGTCTCGTTGCTTGCTCTGTCTAACACACGTGCAATGTTTCTTTTTGGCAGGTCTATTAACTATGACGAGAGAGATCCATTCTTATGCAATGCTTGCGGTTTTTGCAAATATGCCAAGTTTGACTACACTCTAACAGCCAGACCGTGCTGTGCTGTTGATCCAATCGAGAATGAAGAGGATCGCAAGAAGGTAGTCATGATTCCTAAAAGATAGTTTTCAAACAATAAGTAACGGTGGGGAAATCTGTTTGCCCAGGCTTTGGGATGAATGGAAGTTTACAGAGAGATGATGGAACATGGTAAAGTGACGGGAAAGTTGTTGTACAAGGTATCCAGTTGGTTAGTGTTTCTAGGAATGCAGATTTGCTTGGTTTCGTCGTTGATGTTTGTGTAATCATTCATTCCACAGGCGGTTGCCAACATCAACTCTCTTTTGGAGCGAGCTGACAGAGTGTATCGGCAGCTAGTGTCTCACAGACAGCCCTTGGACCTGCTGTTAAACAGGTTGTTGGAACATGGACAGCAAGAACCATTGCAGGTGAACGGTCGTTGCCATTTGGGCTTTGTTAGTGGTATTCATTGGCTTGATTAGCTCGAGTCAAACTGCGAGGCCGTGAATAGATGTGCAATTGAAAAGAAACTTACAGTTATTATGTACATCATCTAAAGTGCTGCCTTTGTTTTAATTTCCGCAAATAGTAGGTATGCTAATGTTTGAACGACGAAGTAGAAATGTCTGTTCTTTCTTAGGAGATGTAAATGTAAAGTAACTGCAAAGGAGATTACTGATCATCCATTACATGTATCTCTTGTGTTACAGGAGAGTACGTATGGTGCGACACAGCCAGTGGCCTCTACAGTTGCAGGGTCTTCAACATCAAGCAGTTCCTCTGCAAACACTGGAGTCAACAAGGCCATCCAGGCTTTAGCCCACCGCTATTGTGTTGAGTGCAAGGGAACTTTTGATGAGCTCAGCAAGATCACTCAGGTTTGGAATAATAGCTTGTTGTCCATTTATTGAAAGACTAACCTGCCACTGCATTTCGATAAACTATTTGATACAGAAAAACAAGCTGCGTTTATTCTCTACCAGTGGTCTCGTGGATATTTTGTGAAGCTTCGTCATTATTTCAACATTAAACTTGACCCCTACTCTGGGGTTGTCGAAACTTTTCTCGCCAACAACAGTCCTTTTCAGGCCTTCTCAGGACTATCCACACCCGCACGATCACACGTGAGAAACTGCACTTTTCACTCTGCATCTTCAGTTCTTGAGTATTTCAACTGCTCTCTCCTTTGCTCAACAGAAAGTATTGGCCTCTAGAAAGGAACTACTGGAGTATGACTGCCGCGAATGTAAAGGTCCGGAAAGCTCTAGCAGCAGCTCCTTGCTGCTGACGTCTGGTTCAAAGGGATTGCCTGGAGAATGTTATGGCTGTGCTTCTGCTGCCATAGAACATTGTGTCACACTTTTGAGAGCATTAGCCATGGTGCCCGGAACTCGAAAGCAACTGGTGGGAGAGGTGAGGCTGGTTGTCTTTGGTATTACTGTGTCAGAAAGGTCAAATAACTAGCATTAATGAAGCAGTCATCTCTTTGAATAGTTCATGGACAGCATCTAGTAGTGTTTCAGTTGAAGTATTTTGAGCGTTTTGATAATGGAAAAGTCCAACAAGGCTTTGAGAGACAACCAATACAGATAAAGCATATTTGAACTCGTGCTTTTGTTCATTGTTTCTTTAGGGCCTGATACAAGAGTTGGTGGAGTTTAACTTGCATGAAGGTACTCCGCAGATGAGAAGTGATGTAAGACATCTGTTGTGTTTGTTGACCAAGGACAATGAACAAGCCACAAAACAACTCAATGAAATCCTGATCAGCGCAGTGGGCGAGGCTGTAAACAGTCACAAGTCCAACCCTGCAGTGGTTAGTATGTCTACGTGATATTTTGAAATCTGTGAAAATCCACATCCCTGTTTTCACCTTAATAATTGCAAACTGTCTTTCTGTGACCATGTTCTATTGAATGCCATCGTTTGTGGTTTGTTATGGCTGCTTTGGTAATGGGGTGGTGTTGGTATTGTTGTTTGGTTTGAAAATCCGTTTTCATATGATGTGGTTTTTGAATTTGAACCTCAAAACTGCTGGAAATACTTCTGTACGGACACTTCAATCAAATCAGTTCAAATTTTTTTTTCCTTGTAGGTCTCGGGTATCAGTCGAGAAATGTTACTTTTGAGTAATGCGGTGGAGATGGAAGACACTTGTTGGGAGATGCGTCTGAGATGTGGTATGTTTTTATATAGTATGAAATCTCTATTCAGACATGTAGTTGTTATCAATAAAATGAACTGAGTGTCTTTGGAACTCGTTAACCTTTAGCTGCAGAGGTAAAGATGATTTTGCACTTTGCATCAAGAAAAGAAACTTACTATTCTTGTTTGCTAGCCAGCTGGTAAATTTTAGGAAAGCACTCAGAAATAATTTATTGTCCATGCAAGTATATACAAGATTTCAGGATTTCTTATTGACTGGTCTAAACGACTATCTCGCCAATCGTGTTTGTGTTTTTGTCGCAGTGATGACACTGTTTATGATGTCTGTCGAGGTACGGAGTCCACTTATCATGGAGAGCATCACTTTACCATGTCTGAAGATTCTGCTTAAACTTGTTAAACCACCCCCACCCAGCAGTAAAGCCAACAAGGTATGTTAGCGTGTGGCTCTTCTAAGATTGCTATAGAGGTTGTTTTACACGTTATGGTGATGAAATGCTTCGTTCTACCCTGAACAAAGCTACCAAGTAGCACCCTTTCAACTCTGAGTTTAACCTTGAGTCTGATATTTTTCTGTGGAGTGTATGACGATTCAACAGCATGTTTATTTGATGCTGTTTGTTGTTTTGTAAATTTAAGTTTTGGGACTTTTTGACATTTTTCCTTATAAGTCACATTTTATTGAACCTGAGGGGCAAACTTATAAGCAGTTCGAAAACCCATAGACAAGTTACACTGTAATACAAGTGTTCTTCTCCTACTACATTACCAGATGCAGCCGTGTTATCTTTCAACACTACATGTTTTGTTTCTTTTTTATGCGACGGCTTACAAAGCTATTGATTGACGTTGTTCTTCACAGGACAAAGACTGCAAGTCATTAGGCTCTGTTCAGGGTTCCAGTGGTGTGCGTATTAAAGCCAAACAGTGGATGGATGGTGATGCTAGCCACACGTATTCTCAATGGAAAGCAATGGCTCCTACAAAATCAGCTGCATCCAAATCCGTGACTGGTGAGAGTCGCACTGAAGCACGGAAACGACACTTGATGGAGAAGTATGGCCGAAAGTGGCGTGAGAGGACCAAGAGGAGGGAGTCGCCTGAAGACCAAGAGTTCCGTGAGGAAGAGTGGCTTAGGCAGGTGTTGTTCACTCCATCGAACAGAGCAGCTCGCGAGATGGCCTGTACCATGATAGAGTCCTTATGCCAGGTATACCTACAAGTAAAAAAGTGTGTTGTGCATGTGCAAACAGCCGCTTTTCATTCAGAGTGTACGTACACTGAGCAATGAAATGAGGTGTAATCACAGACTGTTTTATCCGTTCTGAGATGTGTCGTACATACTTGATTAGTTGGTGGGATAGAGATGGATGTGTATGTTGCATCATCTAGTGATTACTTTCAAGTGTATAAAGGTCAAACCTTCAAACTCTTCTGCATTGAACTTCTGAAATTGTGACGATTTTTCCAGAAGAGATTTCATTCTCTTACCAAAGGCTGTCTCATTTGCAATTACTGTAGTGATTACGGCCTTAACTTCCAGACAATACCCTCCTTAGTCGGTGCTCATTACAGATTTTTACTTTGTTCGCTTATTAAGATACCCAGCCGACAGCAACACATGTTGGACTTGCTCACAAGGTAGGTGTCTTTTTTATAGTAAGCATGAAGCTGTGATGTAAAACAATGACGCAAACGCTAACTAATAATAATAAGTAAACCCGTTATGACATTTTTGTTGTCTTAAATAAATAAAACGTCTGCACCAATGTAAATGAAAACTTAGTGGTCGCTCTAAAATGGTTTTGTGATTTGTTTTTAATGTTTTAATGATTACATGCAGTGTCCGGTTAAGTGAGAAGTCGGCAACTTGTAGACAGAACTGGCCTTGCATTGATGCTGGTTTTTATGTTTGCTCTACTTGTCCAGTTATCTAGAGGAGGTCCGTACTGCAGGAGAGAATGCAGCTGAGTTCTTCCAGTTGTACCAGCGATTGACTCAGCCTACTTACTGGAAATTCTACCTAGCTCTCCAAGGAGCTCTGATGCAGATCGGACAGCTTTTAACCAAGGTACACAGTGTTATGCAAACTTCTTGTTCCTTCCCGTGCTACTTTGTTCTAGAATCATGTAATTTGTGAGAGCATTTCTTTGCGTGTCTGTAGGAAATTGAGCATTTGACTTACCTGGAGCAGTACACCCTCAGCTCGGATCTGTCCCAGGGATATGCTCTGAAAATGTTGGCTGGTAAGTGAACAAAGTTGAGAACTTTTTGTTACCAACTCTTAAACAGTTGTAAGACAACCAAAGAGCCAAAAGAATCCTACCAACTGTTTTGTCTTGACAGAATTGATGTCGTCTTTCCTGGAGCATGAAGCAATCAAACAGAAATTCAAGGGAAAGCTTGTAGCCACAGTGCTTAATGGTTACCTGTCCTTGCGAAGGTGACTTGGTTTATTTCGTACTTATTTTCTGTAAATGTAGTGAATTACCAAAGCCAAGTGACATACAGTTTTGTATTGTATCATCTTTGATTGTTGGAAGTTGTCAACTAACTGCACTCGTTTGTTGTCAGACTGGTAGTTCAGCGTACAAAACTGATTGACGAGACTCAGGAGATTCTTTTGGAACTACTGGAGGAGATGACTACAGGTAGGTGTTACTTAACAAGAGCTGAACTGATGTTCCACTAGCTAGATAAAGAATAATCATTGTCGCATGAAGAACTTAAACCATTCAGTGCAAGAGGTGATGCCAACCGCAGAACAGTTCGGTGCTGATGGTTGCGACGTTTTTCATTTGAATTAATTTGCACCAGTCAAGGGAACGTTAACTGCTCTTGTGATTCTGTTAATAGGTACCGAGACAGAAACCAAGGCATTCATGGCTATTTGTGTGGAGACCCTCAAGAGGTTTGTTTGACAGCAGCTGTTTGTTTGTCTCCAGGATTCTGATTAAAGCTGGCTACTACCAAAAGCAAAATGCTCCCCTCCCTGGAGCATGAAATATTTATCAAAAACTACATTTTTATAACATTTAGATGTTGAAACAGCTAACGTACGATGTTTGTTAACACGTGTTTGCAGGTATGGACTGGATGACCTCAGGACCCCCGTGTTCATTTTTGAGCGGCTTTGCAACCTGATCTTCCCAGTAAGTAAAGTGCAGAGTGAGGTTGTTATGACATGTTGTTCCTTTTTATGCTAAGTTTGATAATTTGACACGTCTAGCGTGAGGACAGCTGACAGTTGGTCCATGAGTGTCCTTGCATGGAAAGCTTGGACAGTGGGAGGTCTGAAACGCACTCTTTCATGAAAGAATTTTCGAAACATAATGATGTGAAACCTAAGATATCCTCGTTTGTTTTGTATTGTATTCGAGAAAAGTCGAGTGCAAGCTATGCAAAAACAGTTTTCTAAAATAATAACCTTTTGTAGTTTTGAAGAGTATGTATTTGTTCAACAGCCCAAATTTCTTGCCATGTGCCTATGTTAAACAGTGTTATATATCTCATCATCTTTACTTGTTTTTGAAGGAGGAGAATGATGTTGGTGAGTTCTTCCTTACACTTGAGAAGGACCCTCAACAAGAAGACTTCCTGCAAGGACGCATGCAAGGAAATCCTTACAGGTCAGAACAGAGTACAATATGGGGCAATTAATACACAGGATTATCATTATTTCTATATTTGCCTTATTCTTCGTTGTACTTAGCTTTAAAAGGATTAGAACAAGGGAATGAAATCGTAAAAAAAACCTTCATACATTAAATTGACTCACTGGTGCCGGGAATAGAAGCTGCATAAGACTTGAGCATCTTTTCTGGAAACGTAACAGGATAAATAGAATTAAACGATACAACAGCAGTTGTATAGTTTGTTGGCAGTATGGTTTGAGGGCGCAATAGCTACCTGGGACCGGGGACAGGGAGAGGGTGTGTCAATGACGAGCCAAAAGTGTGTGATTAACAAGCTTTACAGGACAGAGTTAGTAACGTTGTACATATGTTCTGTCTTTTTACAGTTGTAACGAGCCCGGGATGGGTCCACTCATGCGAAACGTCAAGAACAAAATCTGCACTGGTAAGAAAACATCCAAGTTAATCCAATGTACTCTGTTCTCATTGAAGCGGGTCATGAGCTGTCTTGATAACCAACGGACCCTGTGTGATATGAAGTTGGCAAGAAGAAGGTGTTATAGTTAGTCTCCTTGAGGGTTCCCGTAGTTTGCACCTTACTGTGGAGATTCAGACCATTTTATTGCCGAGATTGATTTGATTAAAGCATGTCCTGAGCTTCCTGAAATTACGTATCTCATGGCGGTGATTCATGAATCCTTTCAACGCAATTCATTACCAGTGCTTAAGGTTTACAGTATCATTAATTATAGCTATTATTAGCTTACTTTAAGGCAAATGCAGCTTGTATGTAAACATTGTTTTGTTTCTATTTGAAAAGATTGTGACTTGGTGGCTTTACTCGAGGATGACAGCGGCATGGAGGTAACGTTTGATATTTACAATTTCTTATTTGCACTCCAAACACGTTTAATTCGCAATATATTACACTTTATGGCAACGCGGTACTAATTGTTTTGTTCTTTTCTTTGTTTCAGTTGCTTGTCAACAGCAAGATCATCAGTCTGGACCTGCCAGTTAAGGATGTCTACAAGAAAATATGGTGTCCAGAGGGAGAGGTTTGTAGATATTCTTAAATTAAAGAGATGTTTCTACTATGCTGTCTTGATTACTTATATTAGTACACGAAGTTCTTATATGTTCAATTCTTATTTTACAGGGTGAACCAATGAGGATCATCTACAGAATGAGAGGTAAGAACCACGTGGCTGTTTACTAATGAATCTCTTTTCGAGTGGTCACGATGCTCTTGTTCGGCAACAGCAATTCTTAGCCCCCTTGTGTATGGGCACCTGACCCAGCATAAGTGACAGTGTTTACGCCTTCTACACATGTTAGGAAACATTATCACATGCGCGCTATCAAACTGAAACCAGGCTTGGTCACCACTGACCGAAAACGCAGGAGCTTTAAGAACGAGGTTCTCTGTTTATTGATCAGCTCTCACTTCTCCTTAGCGGCTGAGTGACATTCAATCCTTGAAATCTTACTCCCGAAAATCTGTCGAGACATCAAAGTATGTCTGCCTGGTGTTGACTTTAGTTTGAGTAAAGAGAAATCACATGGTAACGTTCTACAGTGCATGTTTACACACTTGAGAGGTTTATGTGCGGCACAAGTGATACATAATATCAGCATTGCCAAGACAGCAATTACGATTATAAGCTGATAAACACGCGTTTACTACAGTAAAAAGCTTAAGTTGATCTCAATACACTTTAAGATATATTGGATCACTGTTTCACCTCACAAGTGGGTTCCTCCATGTAGTAGTGGTAGTAGGACTTTCTTGAAGTGTCAAGGTATTTAGCTTTTAACAAACTAACTGGGGACTTAATTAAGTAACCTTGTGCAATATTTAAACTTTTATATAACTTTTTTCACCAGTCTTGATTTCTTGCGTCATTTTTTCACAGGTCTGTTGGGGGATGCAACTGAGGAGTTTGTGGAGAATCTGGATACTCAACAAGGTTAGTTTGTTGGTAGTTTGTAAGTTTGAAGAACTCTCTGTATCTTGTGTCTGCAACTTTTCGAGTGTGGCAAAGCGTGCCTCACTACTCCATTTCCAGGTGTTTCTTTTAACTTGTTTTCATGTTAATTTTTTAAGAAGAGGAATTGGACGAGGAAGAGGTTTATAAGATGGCTGCCATTATGTCGAGTTCCGGTGGACTGGAAGCCATGCTCAGCAGGTATTTGAGACTCTTATTCGTGCTTTGCGCTACTACACAGCCCACTCTTTGAAAGAACATTTTTACTAGTGTTTAGAAATTTACTACTACATCACGTATCTGTTCACAATTTTGATCGGTAAGTGTGCTTGATGGCCGTAAACTGTCAAAAAGTGTGATTTATCATGCTATTTGTGGTTGGTGATAAAAGCTGAGATTCAAGACAAGTCATACATGTATACGTCTACTCATTTGAAGGTTGAGTGGAATAAAAGATCTTGTACGTGGAAAGCAGTTGGTATCGGTTATTCTGAAGCTCATGGGGTATTGCGTGAAACTCAAGGTATTGCTTTACTGGCGTCGCTCTTTTCTGAACATTTCTCGTGTATTGAAGTCATTGTTTAGAACTGTAGACTAAACGAGTTCGTTATTTCTCTGTAGGTCAACCGGCAATACCTTTGCCTTCCAACTCTAAACACACTCAATGTCCTTCTTGGAACTCTGAACCAGGTATAAACCTTTTTCCTGTTGTATCGGTCAACTACTCTCTCTTCCATAGTATAGTTTTACGAGTTACTGTTTTGCAGTTTCGCCGCTTTTTTCAACGTATTTTCAACAATCATATTTTGAGTCAATATATCAAATAATAATATATTTCCTTACTGGGGTTATAACGGGAAATTTGTCGCACAGTGTTCTAAACTATTGAGGAGTCAGTTTGGTTAGTTCGTTAAGATATAACTTGTTGTTTTATGTTGTAGGCTTTGCGTCTGGAGGCTGACTCTGGAGGTGGAGCCAGCATCGCAGAGGACGTGTTAGGAATCATGGAGACAGTGCTACAAGAGGCCACAAGTACACCAACCCCTGCTATCCCCATCCAGCAGGGAGATGGTTCTCAACTGGACATGCTGCTGGACAGAATAACAAGTCCTTATGTGGTACAATACGCTTGTATTTACTTTACTTACCAACACTGTTCAGCACCTAACTTTCCCTTATAATAACCATTCACTATCAAAGACACTCCTGGCAAGTATTGTGAAATCCATCAACTGCTACTGAGCAAGCAATCTTGTCTCGATTAAACCAGTGAATTCCCAGAACTACGATTACAAGAAATCTGTAGCAACTAGTAAAGAGAGTTGATATTTTTAGCTTGGGGCTAAATGACTTGTATCGTATTTATTGCAGAGGACACACAGCAGTGTGCTTCAAGCTATGATGCGTATAATTCCTTTCTTGACGTTTGGAGATGAAGAAAACATGAGGACGCTGGTGAATCACTTTCTGCCCTACCTGGACTTTGAAAAGTAAGATGGCACTCAACTTTGTCGAACGCTTGAACTGTTTACACTGTGTCTGATTCCTGGAAATGTCCATTAAAAGTTCTCTTTTTGTATCTAGAATAAGGGTGAAATATTGCTGCAGTTTCAAAGGACTTTGACGAACGTTTTGTATATTAACAATGCAAAAGTTGTCGTGCTCCTTTTCAAATATTTCCTTGACCCGTCATTTGCTGATGATAGGTAGTAGTAAAATCTAAATACACAATTGAAATGACCAAAGGTTTCTTTCTCTGTCATTTTTATTTCAAACTTTGATTGTTCTCCATCGCAGGTTTGATCGCGAGCGTTCAAGTGACGAAACTCTCTTTTTTGATTGCTTCTGTAGTATAGCAAGTAAAATCGAGGTGAGCATCGTAAAGGCAGTTCATCTGCATGTTCAAAGCCTCTGTGGTTCTTATGGGTATTTGTTGATCTCTGATGACAACTTTCTACTCTGTCTGTTTCCGCTCGTAGTTTTGCCTCCCATCTCTTATTTTAGATCTTGTAACCTTTTGATCAATAATCTTCAATTATCTTACAGAATAATCACAATGGTTTCAAGCTGAAGGACATGATCATTGAGAACGGAGTTGTAGCCAAAGCATTGACATACTTGGAAAACCAGACCCCTCAGAAACCCTTCAGGTACCGAATGTTATACGGCTTGTGACTAGGTATTTGTAGGCACTCGTTTATTTATTAGTTCTTTTAAGTGAGGGATGGAACTACGTCTCAAACCAGTTCCATCCCCAAGATTACACGTGTTTGGAAGCTGATCAGATTTTCTTTCTCGTGCATCCAACGTGATCTTAGCGACATTAACCCAATGATCGTCACTGGAAAAATCTCCCGTTTTTCCATTTCCATTTACGTGTTTTTTTTTTTTTTCCTGCCGTTCGGGCAACTCACCTATTACAGCCTATTACAGCCGTTTGATCGGGTGTTTTATTGCTTCACACAATGAAAATGTCTTTTCTTTTTTTTGGTAAGATCTATAATTTTACGATTCATTCTGGCTGCAGCCCTTCTATTTTTTAATGTTTTTGTCTTGGACAAGGCTTACTCTGTGCTCCAGAATATCAATACTGATATTGATTTTAAGACAAGTGCTACCGGCCTTGGTCTTTAAACTTCAAGGTTGGGAAGATAGGTAGAACTTAAAGTGTTAATAAATTTCTTGTTCTCTAACAGCAAAGCAAATCTGCTTGAAGCTGACGTGTGGAAAGAGTTTTTAGCCCGGCCGTCTCTTCCTTATGTTCTTCGTCTTTTGTCAGGTCTTTGTAAAGGACATGTCAATACACAGGTGAGATTAGATTCGCATGTAAGGTTACAAATTTGCACTTGCAGATATTCCTTTTCCATAATACCAAACGTAGCTATTTTCAAAAGCTTACAGCTTTGCAAGTATTTTTCAAATAAGATTCACCTTGTTTTTATTTCTTGAAAGTTTCTTAATCCTAAAATTCATGGCAAACACTTTCTTTAATTTCGCCTTATTGGATAGTCGCGCTAATTACATCGTTCAAAGGCGTCTTTGATGTAAATAAATAGCCCGACGAAGTATCTACAACAAAGTTTACCTCTTTACTAACACAGTCAATAAACTCATTACCAACTTCAAAATTCAAAACTGTATGTCACTATGGAATTGTGTACCTCACGCATATTCTTACTCAGAATGTAATTTTGCTAACAAAGCTAGGCAAGTCCATCCCTGTTGTACGCGTTTCAATGCTTAAGGTGACTTTAAAAAGTTATTACAAACTTTTCTTGGTTGATAAAGGTGCTGGTCGGTGAGACAGCTGTACCAGCCATTCATCGTCTGGAGCAAGTCTCGTCGGAGGAAAAAGTTGGCTCGCTGGCAGAGAATCTTATGGAAGCACTTAGAGAACATCCTGATGTCGAGAAAAAGGTAAATTCAAGCGTCTTATTGTTCACTCTTATTACTAGCTAGCTTAATGGAAGTAGTGTTTACCAACAATTTAATACCGCCATGTCGAGTATCGGTAGCCGAGGAGAAAAGGTTTTCTTATTAGTGTTGTGTGCCAACTGAATCCAGGCCTGTCATATCTGGTCAGTCACAACCAAACTTACTTACCTTGTTTTGTGGTTGTGTTGCGTCTCAGGTGTCAGAAGTACGCCGATCAACACGAATGGAAAAAAAGAAGCTGGCCATGGCTATGAGAGAAAAACAGCTTGGAGCTCTTGGCATGCAGGTGCTTGTATTCTCCTTACTATGTTCCACGCATTATTTTTCATTTGAGTTAGGAGAATTGCGCGGTTCATCCGTAATATCCTATAACTGATCTGTTTCTTTATTCTCATCACGGGTGTGCTTGAGTATGTCTCGCGTTTGTACGGAGAAATTGTGTGTTGATCATTTTTGGGAATTGAAGAAGTAAATGACTTTCCTAGAGTTTAGTGTGATGACATCTGTAGAATCTATTTTACAAAACCGTGACGGTTCTCAAGTTTAGTGTTATAATTTGTTATCATGTACAAATAATTTTCAGACGACATCCGGGGGAAAGATCATTGCCAAACCGACAAGTTTACTTCGCGAAATGGAAGAACTTCATGAAGAGGCTGGCCTGGCTTGTTGTATTTGCCGTGAAGGATACAGATATCATCCTCAAAAGGTTTGTTGTTTTTCATGATAACTTCTAGGAACAACATGTGTTTCGACTCAGCAAGTGCTGCATTCTTTCCCCGTTTGCGGTATCATCACCCTTGCATCATCTACCCTACGGTCGAATTCGTGGCTCGTTACATTCTATTAAGTCTATCGCAACATTTCACGTTCTCAACAGGTTTCATTTAAGCTGTTGTTAGTAACAGCAAAGTCTCCTGTGGTTTATTTAATTGCCTTGGTAAGCTTTAACGGAGGTTTTTTGTAACCCTTTACAGGTTCTGGGTATCTACACGTTCACCAAGAGATGCATTCTGGAGGAACACGAAAACAAACAGCGTAAAACACTGGTAATTCCCGGTTTTCGTTGATAAGTAATGATCAAGTCTGGAATTTCCTTTTAACGAGTGATAGCGTAGCTAGAGAGAGTTAGGACACGTTTCTTACCTGACGTGATAGAGTGGTTGACTGATGAAACAATTGTTTAATACAGCTCTCGATCTTTCACAAAGTTAGTACGATTGTGCAGGGTGTTTGGAAGCTATGAAGCAACGTCACTTACCACTCTGGGGTGGTTGTGCTATTTTGTGATTGAACAAAAAGATTCGGAATCTCCGTGAGACTTCCGCGAGACTTGTAGACCTTTAAAACAGCCATTAACAGGGTTTGTGTTGTTGATCAGGCTAAGCGTCCGATTTGTAAGGCTTTGATACAGGACGCTCAGCTTGTTTTGAATTGATGATTTCTTGCATGTATGTTTGTTGTGTTCGTCAGGGTTACTGCACTGTCAGCCACTTTAATATCGTGCATTATGACTGCCACATGGCGGCTGTAAGGTAAGAAAACAACCATCCTCTTTGCTCTCTTTAAGACTGTTGGAAGGAAACTCCGAAGATTCCTTACCATGCACGTGATTAAGTACGACTGTACACGTGTACTCTGTATCCTGCCATTATCCGCTGAGTTGTTCATATCTCTATCAATCTCTATCTAGATCACTTAGTGACGTCTGCAGCAGTTGCTAAGTCAAGTTTTTCCTTATTAGGCTTGCTCGAGGTCGTGATGAGTGGGAAAGTGCTGCCCTTCAGAATGCAAACACCAAGTGTAATGGTCTGTTGCCTATCTGGGGTTCAAAGGTAAGCGATTGAACGAGATTTCTGCTGTTCTTTTGATGAGACAAATAACTACCACCGGCATTTTCGACGCCTTGGAAAGAATAGAAATTGTTTAACGCAGACCTACTCGTTTGTAAAACTCTGTTTGTTGAAGTGTGTCGGTTGGGAGTAAGCAGACTTGGTTTCTGCATGGAATTTAGTTTAGGAAAAGTCGGCGACTCTCCGCATCTGACTGGGGTAATTAAAGAAGTTCATATCTGTTTAAACTTGATGTTTCTATCACCATACCAGGTTTCTGAGTCTGCATTTGCAAGTTGTCTGGCAAGGTAAGAGTACTTCCACTGCTCAAATGCTCTTGTTGCGTTGGTGAAGCTCTTTGTTTCGCCTTGAGTGCTCTCAGGTCCATTAGTAGTCATTGTATTTCCGCCAATCGAATGTAGTTGGTAATATCGTCACAAAGCCCTTTGACAGGCGGTGCGTAATTTCTTGAATGGGGTATGAATTTCTGTAATATGTGAATGACACACTACTTTCAGCTTAAGTAGCACTCCCATTTTACTCCACTTTTATCGCTTTCAAAAAAGAAATTTACAATCGTTTTTTTTTTTTTACTTTCAGACACAACAGTTACATTCAGGAGTGTACGGGTCATATGGAACCTACGTATCACGCTTCTATTCACGACCTGCGTCTGCTGCTCCAGCGGTTTGCATTTGAAAAATCCTTCAGTGAGGACACCGGTGGCGGGGGCCGAGACTCGAACATCAAATTTGTGCCGTATGCGATCCACATGATACTCTATGTCTTAAACACGTAAGAGTCGTGAACTATTGATACCAGTTTCTTAATGCTACATAGTTAAACATGCAAGTGCATTGATATTAGAGGCTGGAAAGTGGTGAAAAAAGTCTAATGTAATTTGGATTGGTGAAATCAACCCTTCTGTTTCCTTATGAGTGTTGGCCTGAGAAAGGCAATGGGACATCCTAGAGGTAAAGAACAAAATTGTTTCACATCGGTGGGAATCGAACCCAGGACCCTCGGATTAGTTGATCGTTGCTCTGTCGACCAGGCTACGAGGCCAGACGTATCTTTTAACATTGCTCGCGAAGAGGGCGAGGGAGAAGTAAAGGACTTTTTTCAAAGAATTTCATAGCTTCTTTTATGAGCGCTTAAATGTACTTTGTCACCGTGGCTTAATATCAGTCTAAATTGGAAATAACTTTGTTATTTTCTCATGCAGGACTCGCCAACTGAGTCGAGAGGAGAAGACGCTGAAATCATTTTTGGACATGGCCCCGGACAAATGGGCTGAATCATCTTACGAGGTTTGTTTCCTTTGATGTGCAGTGTACAAAGTGATTTCTTGCATTAATAAAATTTCCACGTAATACAAGCGCCACATTACTTATCAAAACCGTATAACTTCTTTGAATTATAATCAAGTATTATATTATTTGTAAGTCGCCATTAGCCTTGCATTTGACAGCGACCAGCTCGAACACGACTGCTACCTTGGTCACTCTGCAGATATTTTGTAATTTTCCTAAGTAAACTTTCTTTTTTCTGTTGTCCCAATGGTTAGCCGAGTAGTTATATCAAGAGACTAAGGATATGATTCCGTTTTTTGATTTCAGGTCGATAGCCCGCTGTACATGACAGTGCTGTCGCTGTTTGTGTATTCACTGGAGCACTGGAACCAATCAAAGATCACTTTCCTTAAAAGGCTTTTCGTTACTGCACATGCACGTCATACAAATCCCTCGGGGACGACCAAGTACGACTTATTTTACTTTCCTGGAATTTTTTTTTTTTGATTTAATATTAAGTCCGACAGCTAGTTAATTATAAGACAGTTACGTTGCGCCGGGCGGCAGTTATTGAATTTGAAGTGTTACTCTTGTAACACTCAATTAATAAAGCTATCTACCTATCTTGTCTGCCTTACCTCACCTGATTGGACTGCATTAACACTGGAGACATCACACGTGAATACTCTTTTGGTATCTCTGAGAATTATCAGTGAAAAAGAAACTAAACAACTGAATGCTCTAGCAGCCCGTACGTTAGAACTGATCTGAAACCAGTTTTCAGTGGTCGTTAAGCACTGTTACATGACACAGTTATCGTTCACAACTGACCCTTCCATCTCTGTTTTGTTAAACAGGGTCACCGATCTGACTCTGGCTGAATTCTCTGTGTACCGGCCGTATATTGTGTTTTTTGTGTTGATCGATAAACTTCACCACCTACTGAAGGTAAGTGAGTGCGATAGAGTAGCTACATTAATCGTTATCTTTCATATTTGTATAAAATCTCACCGCGTCATCGTTCCCAGATGGAACGATAAGCCCCTAAGATTGAAAGTCAGTTACCTTCATTTTCAAGGTTTTATCTTAACAGTAAACACTTGGTCTATATTCTTTTTTTCTTTTACAGAAACATTTGGTTGCGGATGACAATGGCTGGCCGCAGGGAATGCTGGATCATATTCGAAACAGTGACGAGACCGTGTTGAAGGGTTGTGACAAGGCAAGATTTTTATTTCGTTTACCGCATAATTTACCTTTCTTTCTTCTTTCTTTTGTGTACGTTCTGATGTCGTGTTTTCCTTTGCAGATTTTATCCTTTTACCAGACGGACCTTCTACCATCGGAGTCATTTTCCGAGTTGTTTGATGTAGCAGGTATGTAGTGTGTGGCATTTGTGAGTGACGGAGTAGCAATTGATTGGATTCAGTGTAAGAACGGCAGGCTTTAAATGACTGTGTGGCATTAGTGCACAATTCCACGAGCTTAGAATCCTCATATTTGAGATTTTTGACGTGTTTTTAAGCTCTTATCTTTTTTGTTTAATTACAGAAATGCTGTCTGACATCCCAGATCCGGAAAAGTTTATTACTGAGACCCTTGCCTCGCTGCCAAAGTGAAACGCCCTGCGTCAAAGTTTGCAGACTCAGAGACAAGAATGAAGTGACTGACTCTAACATAACTACCGAAAACATAGCGAATAGAATCGTTTTTAAGTTAAGCCATTTCCAAAAGTGGTGGTTCGAAGAAATTTAATGTAGAATAGGTGATGTAGTACGAGAGATCACAATTAAACGTAATTCATGAAGGTTGTAGTTTCTGCTAATTTCCTTTCTTTTATTTTGCGTTTAAAAAACTGTCTGTGGCATAAGCCTTTTGGAACTGCAGTTTCACCTTGAAAAAGTCAAAATAGTACACAATGTCTTGCCGTTTCCGCGAGTGTTTATAAAATAGGCACTGACCGTAAACAGTCGATTCCTGCTTTCTTCAAATGCCCCCTGGAGGCGGAACTTTGAGGACGGCTCCTTGAGGCAAACGCTGCTTTTCTCTGGTGCTGCATAACAGATAAACTTAAGACGAGAAACAGGGCTGCTGGGTCAATTTACCTGAACGTAGTGGCGGAATATGCAAATATCGAAAAAAAAAAAAAGGAGCCTCAAAGGGGCAATGATCTTCCTTGTTTCCTCTGCAATTTAGTCACGCCCGAGGCTAAAGCAAAAACGCCAAGAAAACCATGGAAAGAAAGTCGGGTTACAACCTACACTGAAGCTTCAAATAGCTATTAAAATAGCTCACATTTTGCTTATCAAATTGCATCTCGAAACCATTAACACTTGAATAGTTTTCTAGCTCTTGTTTGAAAATGAATTCACTTCTTATCACAAGGGAGCTTAAGTAGACCACGACGTCGACGTCGACGGCAACGAGAACGTCACCAAGCGAACGGTGAATGATCAAAATAGTAGCTGTGCGCGTGCGTGATAAATTTTTGTGCATTTCTTTGCCGAGCTCTGCGTGGTCTGAGGAACGCGAACGACGACGCTAATTTTTCGTTTTTTCATTTGGATTTGAACGCTGTCATTGCATATTTAGCCTAGGCAAGTTTTTGGAGCCATTGGCGTACTGAACAGATCTAGACAATTCTAATTTTGCAGGTAAAAAAAAAAAATCAATTTTGACTAGGCATCGTCCTCGGCGTCGCCGTGGTCGTTGCTTCAGCTTCCTGTAAACGCTGTTTACCATGTACTACACCACCTGCTTTGCGAATGTTTGAAAATATAAATTGCCAAGTAAGAGCTGTAGGTTCAACTAAAATAGAATCAGGAAACAGAATATAGTACATGGAACACAGTTTGCCGTTTTCCATATGCAGCTGTTTAGAGAAAAAAAAAGATTAAGGCGTGAGTGAAACCCGCAAGGAGTCAGCGAGGCTGAAAACACTTTAAGTAGTCAAACAAAATATTAATTAACGAGATAACCATTCTTGTTGTATAGCACAGCCGGCAACGTCAGTATAGCAAGCGTGCATCATAATATAATGACGCGCGCTCAAGACTTAAGCAAAGATATCTTCGCTTCGCGAGAAAAATTCATCTACATTAAAAGTGTTATAAAACATTTTATTCATGCTTTTGGTTGTCCATCATCTATTTTTAATGCAGTTGGCGCCCCAAGGAGCTCTTATGTTACTGTCGTGCTCTCCAAACTGGACAAAGAGGTTTTTTTTTTTTGGCTTAAAACCTTTTCGATATGAGATTACAATATCCAATATGCTTTGTGTGTCAAGTTATTGAGTTACGGAGTTAATGGGTTTGTCCGCCAAACAAGCCATTAGTCTTTGTTTTATACTTTCTATCGTGTTTGAGGAAGGGTTGGTTCAAACCATACTTGACTAGGTAAATTACCTACGCTTCGATAGCACCAGGATTCGAAAAAAATACTATTTTCTTTTGGTTTTTTCATGAAACGTAGAATAAGAACGGAAGCATTTCAGAGTAGTAGTCTCTGGCAAGTTATGAAAGGTCATCACGCGTAACTATCACATTACAAGTCTTAACTTTTCGCTGAACTTGTTGGGCCGTATTCCTTCCTCTTAATTGAGGTGGATATTGAAATTTAAAATAGTGAAAAGTGGATCATTGACTAACTAAAGATTTCCAGAGACTTCAGTAACTCTGCAACGACATATACATATGTTCGTTGAAAAAAAACACCTGCTTAAGATGACGTTGTTTGTATTAAAGGGAACACTATATATTTGACGGAACCGTAGAGTGTTTTACATACGGTGCTAATGTGCGTGCTAAGCGGTACAGAATATGACTTCTTCCGAGCACTTTGAACATAAAACTTCAATTCTTTGTTTTATCCTTGTCAGCACATGTGGAATCATATTTCCATTTGGGTCTGCTTGCACCGGTAAGTTGAATTCAGTTTACTCTTCCTTCTTAGTTTCGTGGTCAAAGAAAATGGCTCGTTTTTTCGTAAACCGGTTTAATTAGTTCTGAATGTAACCCATTTAAAATTAGTGAGATTAAACGATGTTGTATTGCAACTGGGATTATGTCCTTCAATCCCACTACAGGTATATTGTTGACGGGATCTTTATGTTTAATCGATAAAGGGAGCTTGGTTCAGTCAAGGGCGGGAGTGGGGTTTCCATGCAAACTTTTTAAAAATGCTTAAGCGGGAACCCTTCTATCACAGTTTGGCATGAGGCCCAGGCAGCTATAGTCACTACTCATCCGGGGTAAAGGAAAGTATGACTGATGGTTTCTTCAGAGATGTTGTCGTTAGGATTTTACGCCAAAGATTTCCATGCATCAATGGCTGAATGACTTTTTGAAGTACTCAGATTCGCAGTTAGCAAATCAGAGGCCGTGTCTACTGTCCAGATATCCAGCGATATCAATGCATTGACCAAATATGGCCGGCTTTATTACCGAAATGCCTAATCGTACCTTTCTAGTAGGCCTAAGCCGTGTAAAAGGCTGGTTTGATCTCGCAATAGGTATTTTGGCTCGAGAAAAACATGGCTGAAGCAAAGTCACCTGATATGTAGGTAGCAGGGAACTTATATTGATGATATCATAGCTACGGTCAGTACAACCAATAAGAAGATGAGTTCTATGATTATCAAGACGTGCCAATATAAAATTCTTGGAATCTTACACAGGCGACGAATGCCGCATGATTATATTCAAGGAACCAATAGAAAACAAGGCCATGAGAGGCCACGCGATCAGAAGTGCGGAGGTCCATAATCAAGGGAGCTGTCGTGTGATGTGTTATATGGACCCCAACTGTGTCTCCATTAATTTTGGACCCTCTGAAAACGGAAGATACAGATGCGAGTTGAATAGCGCCAGTGATGACGATCAATTGTCATTCCTTGAGCATAAAGACACTTACACTTTCCTAGCCATCGAGGTAAACCTTTTTAATGATGAAGTTATGTTTGGGTAGTGTAGATAAATGTCTTCATCAGAGTAAATCATGCATGATTCTGGTCAATAGCTCTTTTCCGAGTTGATCTAAGCCTCTCCATCAAAGCCAGGCCTGGCGCACAGTCATTCATAAGACCAGGAATTTAATTCAGTGCATGTGATTGAAGTTTCATTTTCACATGAGAGGATGGGCACCAAGACTAGCTTTGAGAAAGAGGTTAAAAATGATTCAGAAATGGTGTATTGAAGAGGCGGATCTAACGATCTTACTGAGGGATTCACGGGCCCTTCGCCCTATTATCCTTTTATCAAACTGACTCCAAGTGTGTAAAAAGATAACTGTTAAATAATTACGACTAATATTTTTTAATCTTAGAAAATTTCGTTCGAACTTCCAACTTTATGATTAGCTTTCTCTTTCAACAGAATCTTTGTAGTAGCAGCCCATGTTTAAACGGAGGTATTTGTCAAGTTGGATTCACCAGTAAAGGTTATCGTTGCATCTGTCGCACTGGATTCCCGGGAACAAACTGCTGTCCAGGTATTATTACTCTTCTTTCTATCCCGTTTTATTGGCTTGTTTATTAAATATGTTCCTTTTAATTGTTTAAAACCGATCAAATATCGCTTGTCCTGTTGTTTTCCTTTGTCATTTCTTATCGTTGAGATAAGTAGCATTAGCGTGTTTATCTTTTCAAACTATTTGATTCTTTCGTTTGGAATCATTAAATTTCAAATGCTTTAAAACAGTCAAATAATAATAGCAATTTCTACGAATTACTTGAGACCTTAAAAACCTTTTCTTTTTCCCATCGTTAGGAAGGTCTTGTAGCGACTTGAAGAAGCTCGACCCAGCATTAAAAAGCGGCACTTACGTCATTGATCCTGACGGCAAAGGAGGTTTGCCACCTTTATATGACGTTACCTGTGACATGACTGACAAGAATGGAGTTGGCGTGACCGTCATAAGTCACGACAGTGAAAACAGAACGCTGGTGGATGGATGCGAACCTCCAGGTTGTTACAAACGTGACATTAACTACACAGGAGCAAGTCTTCCGCAGCTGGCAAAGCTCGCTAGAGTTTCCACACGCTGTGAACAGTTCATCAAGTATGAATGCCTAAACTCTCAACTGTTTAAAAATGAATCGAACAAAGTAATCGGATGGTGGGTTTCACGCAATGGCGATGCTATGAATTACTGGGGCGGAGCATCACCTGGTAATGGGAAGCAGATTTGCGCATGCGGGATGAATAATTCCTGCGCACGCACCGGCCTTGTTTGTAACTGTGATAAGAATGACAATGAGTGGCGAGAGGACAGCGGTCTCCTCACTGACAAGATCCATCTTCCAGTTAAACAGCTGAGGTTTGGAGATACTGGAGGCGACCCCGAGAAAGGTTACCATACATTGGGAAAGTTCAAGTGCTATGGAATTGCCTGATTGTATACAGAATTCCATTATATTTTTCATCCAGCCTCTTTCTTAGTGCCTTTCCTCCCAACTGGTCAGCTAGCTTGTTAAATTGGGAAAATCTTTGCTGTTGTGAAAAAAAGTCACCGGACGATTAACCAGGGAAGTTTTAAATAAGTAAAATTTGGTGTTTGTGATGGCATAAAATTCTTGGGGACTGACACGTTTGCATATTAGTCCTTAAAACATTTGCAAGTGCTTATTTATTCTACATTGTACGAGATTAATTATGTGATTACTTTTTAATAATATACTTGAAAATGGACTATTAAAGGTCTTTTAACTGTGACGTAATATGAATTGTTTAAATAGGCAGGCTGTAGTGTCCTTCCTTCACCAAATATCTTCGAAAAGTACCGAAACATTCGCAATTAATCTCCAAAACTGTTGAAGAATCTTCGACAATCTTCGGATGATCTTCCTTAATCGTCTGATGATCTTCAGAACCCTTCGGAATTGTGCGGCGATCGTCAGAAGTGTTCGGGTGATTTTCAGAAAAGATTCGGGTGATGTTCATAAATACGTACATACTCGGAGTGGTTTGGATGCTCCTCGAAAGTGTTCGGAAAAAAGTCTAGTTATCTTCGCTTATCTTCGGAAAGCTTCGAGGTGACCACAGACCGCCTTTGAA